CCCCCCCCCCCCCAAAAAAAAGACAACAGATAAAAACCAGCCAACCAATCAAATAATACTTAAAAAGAGAATATTTCTGCTATTTTTATAAGACTGTTCAAAAAGGCTTGGTTTTCAGTTTTCCAATGTTTTATTCTTATACTAAACAGACCCAGTCCCAAGAAAAACTGGACTTCTCCTGCATCAAATACAGGCTTTTCTTTCAAGATCAACATAAGTGAGTAACTCTGGCAAACAAACAACTTGGCTTCTTTAATTTTCATGGCGGCAGTAACTTGCATTTCATTCAGCTTAATAGCATGTGCCTGGAATTTTATCACCGCAATGTCTTTTTGTTCATGTCTTATTTTTTTAACCATAGTATCATTTTTTTTCTTTGTATTCAGAGCCACAAATTCTTGTCTACCTATTAAATCAGTAAATGCTCCTCTAATTTCTCTGAGAAATAACAAGCTGTTGCTTCACTTGGTTGCAACTTGGGGCTAAAACACTTTCTAAAATTGGCAAAATAGGACTGGTAAGATTAATTGCTAAGGATAATTCAAATTTCCATTTTCATGAGATCACTGAGTGAAAAATGAGACGTATTGATTTGAAAATAGCAAACTCCTTCCAGAACATTTAAGTGAAAGTTTACCCCTTCGGTACATTTTTAAGCTCTAGATAAGGAGAAAATTGAATGTCTAAAGAGTTATCTGCTCTGGCTAACCAGTCACAAGTAGCATTTCTACTTAAAACGGAAAAAAAAACCCTATTAGGAAGGTTGATCATACTTAGGATATCATGTAGTGGGAGGCCCCGGATAAGAGCAACAAGACTAAGAAGTGGCTTGGAAAACCTGTCTTACAATGAGAAACTTAAAAACCTCAGTCTATTTTGATCCAGAAGGTTAAGAAAATATTTAATCACTGTCCTGCCTGCCAAGTACTTGCATGAGGGAGGTTTTATATTAAGAGAGAGTGCTTTAAATTGGTAGATAAAGGTGTAAAGAGAATCACATGCTAAAAGGTGGAAGTGGACAAATTCAAACTGGAAATGAGGTGCAAGTTTAACAGTGAAAGTCATTAAGTCTTGGAAAAACTTAACGGGAAATAAGATGGATTCTCCAAAACCACAGCATTACTTCCAGGAGCTGCTGCTAAAGAGATGTCTATCTCGATCAGAAGTTAAGGACCTGATGTGGAAATCATTAGCTTATGCTGTGCAGAAAGTCAGACAAGATCATCAGTATTCAAAGGGACTTTGGCACCCCAAGATAAACATATAGGTGCAGAGAAGTGCTGCCTCTTGAGAAGATCGTATATTGAAAGCTGCTTCCTCAACTCTTGAGGGCTGCCAGGGAAAAGGGAATGATATGGAGTAACCATTCCACTCTGTTGGCACCCTTACCTGCTATCATTGCCAAATATGCCTCATATGGTTTCCTTCCATGGAAGAAGGGATGAATCACGTGTAAGTGAATATCCTTGAATGCAGCCTTTCTTGTTAGCCTGTCAGTATTTCATATCAGTCAACTTACTTTGATCTTCTGGCGCTCACTCCAGGTTTTCTCTTATTCAGCTCCATGACCCTGTAATTTATAGCATGTTGCATATAGAAGTAGAAGTAGCATTGTTTCCATTCATTGCTTAACTTAGCTTATCATAAAAGTAGTAGTATCATAAGCTTTTCTAATTGTCCTGCAAATTTTAGCAATGGGAATACTCATGAAAAGCAAATTTAACCTATTTAAGATGAACACTGTGTCCTCTGATGACCGGGGGGGGGGGGGGGGGGGCCCA